ATGAGATTTAGGATATATATTTACATACCAACTTATTCTCACTTTCACAAGAAAATGTTCAGTACTATGCTCCCTTTAAAGATGATACACATAGCTGACTCTATAAAAAAAGTAATATAAGAAAAATAAGGGCACAGTTAACATTCCATAAGATGAAAAAAAATATACTTATTGATTTATTTGGCAATCAATTACAAGAATAATGGAAGGCTATAAATTGCCCCTAATTATGATGCATCTATTGTTTCACAAGCCTACCAAAAAAACTTGAATTAGTTGCACAGAGTTTTTTAAGTTGTGACACTTTGTGACCATTTTGGCACTTTTGTCATGTGTTCATTCTAACACAATTTCACCCTTTCTATTTAAAGAAAAACTATAGTGTTGAAATTACAAACATATATTCATGACATTATAGTTGTAAAAGCGCTGTGTAAATGCATTGAATCAATGCATCTGTATGGGGAGCGTTCAGGTTCTCCATATCATGGAGACGCTCAATGTGGGTGCTGACAACTGTGCAGCACTGACCCAGTAAGCACCTCTAGTGGCCATATGAGTGACTGACACTAGAAGTTTTCCTAGGCAGTAATGTAAACACTGTCTTTTCTCTGAAAAGGCAATGTTTACATTAAGAAGCCTGCAGGGACAGGCTGTAGACGCCAGAATAACTACATTAAGATACAGGGCCTCTTTAAGTGCACGCATACATATTATATCCATAATCTACCCATAATGCTACATGGGTGTTGGGGCAAATGACTGCAGCAGTGACTTTAGGCAGCGGGGCATCCAGGGTATAGATGCAGGATCCCACTGAGAAAATATCTAGGTGAGCAATAAAAACTGACTTATAAGTTTCTATTAAACAGTAAAAGACCATGCAAGGATACAACACATACATAAATGCAGTAAAATAATAATGTAATAGACAAAGAACTTCATCCACCCTCAACCAATATTGCAGCCCACCCTAGGCTTCACTCTAGTGGCAGTCAGGTACCATTAGTTGGTGCAAATAGTTGGGGTCCATAATTATTGTAATCCACAATGTGACTTGGCTTATACTGAAATCTTTCCCAGATCATTAAAACTGGAGATCAAGGTCTTTTAATTGTGTAACCAGTTTCATGGTGCTGTTGTGAAACAAGGGGAGAGGGTTAAAGATTACCACTTCACGATATGGCAGTTAAAGCAGCTGACACCAGCCACATGCCTTGTGCAAAGAAGCTAACAACAGCTAAATCCCTATATAGGAAAAATATACATTAGTTATACAGCATGGCATTGCAATGAAATCCTAAGCAAATATCAAACATATAAATCCACTTAACCATTGTTAATTGGATAGATTACAAACAAAATACTTGAATAAAATTACTATGCAATATCAATCATTTGCATATTAATAAAGTATTACTTTATGCTGTCCCTCAAGATATTAAACAGCAACATTATGCCACACAATATAGCACTCAGCCGATTTAAATCCTCCACAATGCGAAGGAGAGAAAAATGTGTGTATGTCAACTTCCACTAAACCCGGAACCCCCTGATGTATGTGATCTACAAGACCTCTCTTTAATAAACCATGAGAGGCACAATCGTGCTTTCACTCCCACCCAATTCATAGCAGTAGGAAATGAAAGAAATTAAAAATATGGGATCCCCAGCATATATGATGGGGTTAAGGGTCTCCGACGTAGGGTCTATTAAATCAATATTTATATATTTACTACAGTAATACACCTTTTCCAGGCTGAACTAAATCTTAACTTTAAATCTGTCCAAGCCACTACAAAATTATTCATCTGGAACAAACAAGCATAGGGAAGCAAAATAATACTTTATAATTAAGCTTCTAATTTTTTTTTTTATTGTATTGTAAAATTGTAAGCATTCTAATATAATACATATGTAAACAATGTAGCAAAATAAAAAGGTGGATGGATGAGTACTAATTAACAGCACTATTTACAGCTAAAGCTGCATTTATGCATAAGGCTGGATACTGAACTACAAGACCTAAGGAGAGTAGGGATAGCTTTAAAGGTAAATAACTTATTAGTTACTAGTTCAATTTTTTTATTTTTTGCTGCAGATACATGTTATAACTGTGTATTGTGTATGGGAAGATTATTTATGAGTAATTTTACAACGGAACCACAAGTAAACAGAGTGTTTCATTTTATTTTCAAAATGGCAGGTCCGTATTTTAGCGCAAAGAGCTTACCGCTGCCATTTCAACGTAAGGAAAAGAACTCAAAACATTAACTAAAATAATGAACAATGCAAACGAGAGAGCCCTACTTTGCGATTCAGCAAATGGAGCTCATTTAGAAGATGTCATCTTCCGTACCTAGTGAAACAAATCTCTATACAGTAATCATTCATTGTATGTAATCTCATTAAAATTTGTTAATTAATAAAAAAAGTTATTGACTCCTAGTCTGAATTTTGGCACACCCTGTACAAGATAGCCAAGGATAAAAAAAAAAAAAACTATCATTCTCACTTCCTATTTTTTAGTTTAAATCCAGATATAGAATTATCTAATTTTGGCAACTCACAATTGGCACGGCAAAAATTGCTGATATCGCATAGTCAGAAGGCCATATAATCTTGTAGCCATTTTTGAATGTCACCACAGTGAAAGATAGAATTTTTCCTGCTCTTCTGGCTATCTCTATTACCTTTTTTTTTGTTTTGTTTTTTGGCCGAGCAGCATAGACTAATTAAGCTATCCCCCCAACCCCCCCCAAAAAAAGCCAAAATGATTCATTTGATTTTACTTTTATTGTGAGAATATGTAAGTTGATGTGCTGATGTTCACTAAAATGTTTGAATGTTTAATTTCAGCTGGAGTGTGTTGGGATGCTAGAAACTTGCAGGTGACATTTATTAGTATGTTAGTAGCATGCAGCTGAATTGCTTTGGTACGTCGGAATAATTCATCACAACCTCTTTAGAATGAAAGAACATTTTAACTGATGCACGTCACTATGATAGAATGTTTCAGTAGATATGCATATAATAACTAGAAACATTGGTTACCAGATGTGTGTTATTAAATGTTTCAGCTGATGTGCATTGGAATGTTAACATGTAATAACTACATTGGTTACCAGATGTGCTCTACAATATTAACAAGATGTTTTTTTCTTATGACTTGGTCAACATTAACACATTTATTGATAGCAGGTGTAGGTGATCAATTGAAGAGTACTTTGATATGATCCTTTGATAAATTCAGATGGTTTATTTTTACTTTAGGTGTTTAATAAATGATTTAAATCATAACTGCTGGAAGTTAATTCTCCATAAACATTGGATATTCTACAGGCTGACATGAGATGACACAAAGAATAGCAATTGGTGATGATTACTAAGCAGCACAATGCAAGTTACATACTGTCTATGTGCACAGATAATTTCAGTGATAACAAGAGGTTAGTGTGCATGTGACTTGAATGAAAACTAGTCAGAAGTATTCACTAAAACTGAACTGTGGTGGATTAGAAACTGACAGTGTTATATACTAAAGCAAGAATTGCTGGAATTTCAAAACCAATTTAAAGTAAATTTCAAATGTAAGGCCAATGTAGCCAACCTGACAAAATTCTTGAAAACACTAATAATTTCAGTTTGCATTCTTTGTCATTAAATTTGAAATTCTATTTGCAATCATTTTAATTCCTGACAGTTCTCACTTTGGGAAATAACCCTGTGAATCATTATTTTTAACATAAATAGCCAAGCTTTGACTTTAGAGGTGCAGATGTTTTTGACATCATCTATTTTTTTTTGCTATAATTTTGGAGTTTAGTGAATAAATGCCTGTGTGTTCTTGTTTTGATAGTGTTAGTAAGAGTTTACACAAATTTTGAACAAACCTATCTAAAAATAGACAAGTAGGTCATTGTATAACATCATAACATTCTCTGAATGTATCCACTAATAGTGATTAAATAATTTTGATTGAAAAAAATTAGCATAACATTTATTTGAAACAAGGGATGCTTAGCTAGAAAATAAACATGCCATAACAAAGCAATTTTGTTCATAGATTGCTTTGCAGAAAAACTTAAAAAAAAAAAAAAAATGATTAAATTACATAATTTTTATTTTCCATTTATTCATTCATCCTTTATAAACATATCTTGGAACTTAAATATTTTAGACAGTAGGGCTCTATGGACTAAATTCTATACAGCAAAATACATGGGGGAAAAACAACATTTATGCTCGATTGTGATATTTAAGGGATTAAAAATCGCTATATATGCACATCAAAGGCAGTGATTTTCAATAACAAAGATAATTAAACACAGTTACCTGTATATTGATGAAAAACACAATTTTTGAGAAAGATCATACAGGTGCACATGTAAACCTTTTTAAATGCTCATGCCATTTATTAAAAAGCAGTCATTCCACAGAGTTCAGTATAGTTAAAATGAACTGGTAATACATGGTCAAGGGTAGCATTTTGTTTACTCCTTTTCTGTCTGAGACCCAGAGATCTTCCCTTAAAGTAATTGTGTGTACAATTACATACAATTCTATGCTGTCTTGCAGTGTGTCATTTGTTTATCGCTGTCTAAGTTACATTATTTCAAGTGTCCCATAGAATATAGTGTTTCTGTAATCACAAACAATGAACTAATTGGACAAAATATGCATTGTCAATAAAGATTGCTGTGTTTTTGTTGTACTTTCAAAGCTCTAGTGCAGCAGTAAGATCTGATTTGCCTAAATTAAGAACTATCTGCATGGTCTTCTATAAAGTGTTAATTTACTTTTCATATTTATGAAGATGGAAAGATTTTACTCTGAAGCGAAAGTCTTTGCAGGTCACATGAGTCGAAAAAAAACAAACAAAAAAATCTGGAAGTACTTAGTTGAAGCACTTTTGGCAGTTAGTACAACGTCAAGTCTTTTGGGGAATGATGCAACAAGCATTGCTTACGTGTAGCTTCTGTCATTCATGTCTGCAGGTCCTCTCAAGCTTTGTCGGTAGATAGCCATTTTTAGGTCTCTCCAGAGATTTTCAATTGGGTTAAAATCCAGCCTCTGGCTGGGTCAATCAAGGACAATTATGGAATTTGCCCTCAATCACTCTTGCATTATTTTGTTAGTATGCTTAGGGTCATTGTCCTGTTAGAAAGTGAACCTTTGGCCCAGACTGATGTCCTGAGCGCTCTGAGACAGGTTTTTACTAAGGATATCTCTGTATTTTGCTGCATTCAGTTTTCCCTCGACCCTTGACAGTCTCCCAGTCGCAGCTGCTGAGAAAAACTCCAAAGTATAATGATACCACCGCCATGCATCACTTCACTGTTGTGATGGTATTGCATAGGTGGTGCCTGGATTCATCCAGACATGACGCTTTGTACTGAAACCAACCAAATTAAATCAGACCTGAGAATCTTGTTTGCCCCATTCTGGAATCATATAGGTGCTTTTTGCTTAGCAAATTTCAAGCAGGCTTTCATGTGTCTTGTGTCTTGTGTGTTGTGAGTCGAAGTGAGTAGAGGCTTCCATCTGGCCAGATTGATGGCGTGTTGCAGTGATGGTTGCCCTGTCACAACTTTGTCTCACTCAGAGTGACCATTGAGTTCTTGGTAGATCCCTAATGCATTGCAGTGGTGGTTGTCCTTCCACAAGTTTAGCTCACCCAGATTGACCATTGGGTTCTTGGTCACCTCTCTTCCCACTTTTCCCCATTTACTCAGTTCTACCGGGAGACAAGCTATAGGAATAGTCCTGGTTGTTCCAAACCATTTCCATTTAAAAAGACACAGAGTGCCGGAATGTCTGCGTGGCTTAACCAGCTCGTGGGACCTGAAGGAACCTAGATCACAGATAACACGATATTGCATGAAATATGTATATAGATATAGGAAACATGGTCTCTCTATGAATATTCTGTAATGTATTATCTGCAACCAGACAATCTGTGTCTACAATGGCTATGTACATAGATTTGTTGAATATAATAAGGAAATTACAAAATTACAGGCAATACATCTGTGCATGAATATACTGTATTATCTGTGTTATCTGTAATGTAGGGTTCCTTGGGGGCCCTGACTAGGTTAGTCCACTTTGGCTATATACATACCATCTATGTGTACTCCAATATAAAATAAGAGGCAGATCAGAACATAAATATATATTATATTCATACACATTAAAAAGGGCTAATAAATTATATCATCAAAAGTGTGTATATATTAACTATTTCAGTGACAGAAATGCCATGTGAAGTGGTCATATATTAACTCTTCCACACCCATAGAGATGATGTATTGTGGTGATTCATGTGGGACCAAAAAGGTTAGTGAATACATATATAATAAGAATATACGAGGCTAGGGAATGCTTTATTTGCAGGTAATGATAAAAGAATGATACAATAGAGCAGACATGATTATATATGCTTTAAAAGTGTAGACTTGCTTTTTATTGATTGTAAGGGGCATTAAAGGAACTGCCCGCTTTTTGCAGGAAAAAAAGATTAAGTATTTTACATGCAGGGGAGATAAGCAGGCATGATTTATTGACCTTTCAGGACTTTCTGCAGCCACATTCAGCCTCCCTCCCCCTCCCTCCTCACAGAGCCTCACACAGCCTGCATGCTCAGCCTCCCTCCCTCCTCATACAACCTCACACTGCCTGTGTGCGCTCGGAGAGATGTGGAAATACATCTTTACAGAAAACCAACTTTAGTAAGACGCCTCCCTTTGTACTTCATGTTTTTAAAGAGCTGCTATTTAATCTGAGCATGCACTTTACTCAAGTTCCATCAATTTGTAGCCGCGCTAGGTAACCCCTAGACCCCAGCTTCCATGGACTAAAAGTCTCATCACACTCATCCAGATGCAAGTCACATCCTCAAGAGTAGCAGAGGTTATCTGAGTGATGCAGTTGCAGGATACAGTTCCTTCTGAGAATACAGGAGGTTGCAGCGCCCCTCAGTGTCAGGCTGTGTCAGTACTCTGCAGGTGTTTGTAAAGAATGGGACTGTTGTTGCAGGGTGATCGACCACTAAGGCAAACTCACCGTGCACCTCTGATAACTGAGCGTAGGGAAGGAGATGCCTTGTGACTTCAAGTCACATACTATTGATTTATTAAATACATTTCCACACTCCGATCTCCACTAGACTTATATCTTTAAAAAAAATATATAAAATAAAATAGACACTCATATAGCATTATGTGTATTTCTTTATTTTTACTCTTTCAGTTGAAAGCGAATGAGGAGCTCTGTGTGCACATCGCCAGGATTGGTATGAGAGCAAAGAATTGCATCTGTCCGTGGGATTAACTGCTAAAGTTTCATTGTCCTGTGAGTATTCAGAGAGTTGTTGAAGAGCTGAGACTGGGCATCTAGTAGAATCCTCGCTGGCTCTGGCATTCCATAGATTTAAAGGGATGGTTTGTCTCGCCGCTCTCTCCACCTAGGGTATCATTCTATGGAGAACAGGTCTGGGGCTGTCCATAGGAGAGAGAGCCTTCACACCTATAACAGCAGAAATTATACCCTGTATCTTATTACTATGCAACCAAAACGGCGTTTGCAACATGGATCTGTTCCATTGTGATGGATTTCTCTCTTTTAATGCGGATTTCATCTGAGAAATATCACTAAATCCCTGTTTTTGTAAAGCTTCTCTTCAGAAGATTGCAAAGGTGGAGCGACCAGAAGGAGCAGATGACGGACCAATTAATCCTCTCAATGCATGGAAACAAGCAGGAGACCCAGGAAACGCTGATATGTAAAGCAGGTGGAGGCTCCTATTGGGGTTTGTTCCTTCTCTGAAACTCATGATAATCAGCTTCCCTGCTGTGGTTACTTTTTTTCTGATTTCCTGTGATCTCTAGGACTATTGACAATGGTTGTGGTAAAGTGACCTACTGGTTCCTTCATGGTGTCGGAGATCTATTGCAGCACTCCAGGGTCCAGGATTGGAGATGTGGTGGTGGTGATGATGGTGATGATGGTGATAATGATGATCTAGAGAGCTATATGTTTGAATGCAGTGAATATAAATACATTGATTTGTATATCATGTAGCTCGTGGTGATTACTTGAGTCATTTAAAGAGGAAGTGGCAATTCCTGCTGTGTATATATTTTTTTCTAATCCACCCTATTCCCCCGCACTGGAAGTCCTCCTGTATCTAAATGGAATTAGTGGAGATCGAAGCCCCTTGTGTAAGGAACAGACATGATCCATGGGAGCAGTTTGTTTCACAGTGAGTACAGTCTCCTCTCCAGCTGCGGTTACCATGAGCATTATCAACCCCTCACCTCTCTCCCCTTGTCTCGTTTCTTCTAAACGCTTTGGCTGATCTGGTGCAAAACGTTTTAAGAACGAACCCCCCATTCCTGAACGTGCTTTCCGGGCAGCTATTCTGAATTTAGAATGTTCATGATTAGTGATTTGAAATGCGATTCACTAGGGTGTTAGAAGGGGATCTGTGCATGTGTTTTGCTTAGCAAAATTACAATTCTGTAGATGTAACAGAACTCCTTGCCTATGCTTGAGATGTGGCGTGTGTTGATGGTGCTGTGGTGATCTGAGGTATAACAGTGTCCTCCTTTCTTTTCTGCAGTGATTAGTAAATGCTACACACAGCAAAAGTGCCTTATAATGTGATAAAGCGTTTTATGACACTGGAATAAATGATTTTATTTTGCATACTTAGGAGCTGCAGCTGAATATTATTCATAGCCCTCACTAGCATTGCTTGGTGGTGAAATATATGATACAGTACACAGTGCATTTGCACACACTTCTCTTTATGATGCTTAGTGTTTTGCTCAGAACTGCATTAAATATGCCACAGCAGTCAGTGTCACTATATGAAAAATTCAAAGGCCCTTTAACATGTGGGTATTGAGAAGGTTCATTTCCATAACTCATTAAGGACCAAGGACAGCTACGCCTGTGTGTCAAATTATTGGTCTTTTGATGCTGCTGTTTGTCTGTGTTCTCTGTAATCACTGTTATTTTTATTCCAACCCTTTCATTTGTCTATTTAACTAAAACAGCTTAAGGCAAACCAAAAGAGATTCAAATAAAAAAGTATGTCTAATGTAGAACAGGCCTGTCCAGAGAGGATTTCTTTTTAAGCTTCTTTCTTCTTGCAGTTTTTTTAAGCTTTCTCCACAATTTTAAGACTTTTATCACTTGACAAATTAAGAGTAACAAAGCTAACAATTATAATGCAGTATGTATGTTTTTATTCATCTTGTGTATGCGTATATATTTATACACACACACAGACACACAGACAGACAGACACACACACACACACACGTGTGCATTACAAATGTGCATTACAAATATTTATTTATGCTTCTATTGGAAGACATGTTCATAAAGTGTTGTCACATTGCAATTATTTTATTTGGGCTATTGTTTTCTAAATAGTAAAATGCCAAACTCAGACTTTTTTCATCCAAACTCAGACTGTCAATGATAATGTTGCTTTTTATACCAGGACTTAGACAGAGCATGCACTATCTTATCTTGTCAGTGAGTCATGGGCACATAAGCATTGTCTGGCAGATCAGACATATTCTATAGATCTGGTTACAGATAAAAACCGTAAACAGCTGTGTGAAATTAGAATGTATGAACTTAAATACTGGTATTTATATGCCTATGGACACCATGTTATTAAGTGATCATTGCCACTGCAGCTAGTATTATGTCTAGTCTGATCAAAGTAACAAATGCATCTCAGAAACAAAGTGTCTTCTTTCGTTTCAGTTGTAACAAGTCTAATTATTCTACATGTGTCTTGGGCAACAAAAAAAGGAGGAGGTAAGTAATGTGGTTTATATAAAGGTTGTTTCATAATTTACCAATATTACATGCCAAATAGTGTCTATATCCCCTAAATAAGGAACCCTAATTTAAAATATGTAAAATAATTAAACTTTGTAAACGCTATTTAATGTCCTTACTAAAGAAGATTCATTTGATGTGATATTATTTTTTTCAGTCAGACAAAACAGTTCAGAAGGGCACAAATCAGTAGAGTGTGGATCTTGGACAAAGAATTTAGATGGAGGGATTTTTACTTCTCCAAATTATCCCAACAAATACCCTCCTGACAGGGAGTGTATCTACATTATAGAAGGTAAATTGATGTTTCATGCTCGTTGGTATTGTTTTTCTCTGCATTATGCCATTTGCCATAACATCAAACCTTCAGGTTTGTTTGCAAACATAATTAAAACTCATTTCAAAGAAACAAATATAACATAGTAATACCTTAGAGGAAAGTAATTAATGAATTAATTAATGTAAATATATATTTGACATATGTCTACTGGGGTTAATGAATAGCTATTACATAGAGCCCCTATAAATTATTATTTGGGCTAGTAAAATATTTGTATACACCGTGCCCACAGCCAAAGACAATGCATGACCAGACTAAGAGTATGAATTAATTATGTCATTTTCAAAGCGCTAGGATCTTTTTTTTTATTTGTTTCATTTTACAGTTTCATTTGACTAATTGAACTCTGAATTTATGTCTATATTCATTTGAATCAATATTGTCAATTCTATTTACCCTTCCCAGAGATGTTTGTAGCTTCTGAAGGGGAGGAGCCAAGAAAAGCACATGCTTTAATTTCTCAAAGGCTTTTAGCCTCTGATCTCCTGGCTATAAACCATTGGACATTAAATATGTCTATGGTACATGTGGCATTATTATTAGTTAAATAGAAAACATATGCACTGAGAAATCTCAAGATGTGGGGCCAGTTCTCAAATCAATATAAGGATTTTCTCCACAGAAAATCTAATAATCCATCTTCAGTCTATCAGTCTATAAGTAGGTCTGCTTGTTTAGCCATTTATGATTGTAAAAACATAGCAAGCAGTAACGGACATGAAAGTTATCTACGAATCTGATGTTCAGTATGGTCATGAATTTTAGGCCAAATACAAATGTGCTTTATTTGTGAATGGAATAGTAAGAATGATGAATGATAAATTCGGTGATACATTTCTACACTACAATGTAGTTTTTACTTACAAAATAAACAAAACCACTAGCCTTATTTTCATAGGATTTATTTGAAACATAAAAACAGCTGGCAGATATAAAGATAAAACATACATTTTGTGTGTGGATTGCTGTTTAGGGATATCTAAAATTGAAACGATGTGCATGTTAACTGTAAATAGACATTTGTTTTAATTTGGAGTTTATATGGTATACCTTATCGTACAATATTTCACGCATAGTCAGAAAATGTCAATATTTGTGAATATGTGACAAAATAAACAAGTAAAAGGGTAAATACTTTGTTAATAGACATTTGTAAGGAACCTCATATCATTGCTGTTTATGTTGCTTGATAAAATGTCACCAGAATATATAGAGATATGTGTAATACATGGCATTGCAGACTGCTATTGCAGCAGCAATGAATCTCTGCAAAGTGCTCAGCTTTTCTCCTTCCTCTCCTCCCTGGCAGTTGGAATGAAACCATGAATTTTTACCTCCTTAATTTCATTTTACATTGTTTTGCAAACAAAACCTACCATAAGAATACATATCAGTTACACGTGCAATTTATTACCTGCAAGCCCATACATATGAAAGTATACATACTTTAAAGAACAATGGAACAAGTAAAAAGTGCTTTGCCCTGGCCAATCAGCATCTCCTCATAGAGATGAATTGAATCAATGAATCTCTATGAGGAAAGTTCAGTGTTTGCATGCAGAGGGTGGAGACACTGAATGTTTGGATGCATTTTAGGCAGCCATGACCCAGGAAGGATCTCTAACAGACATCTGACCAGTGAAGTTATCACTAGGCTGTAATGTAAACACTGCATTTTCTCTGAAAAGACCGTGTTTACAGCAAAAAGCCTGACGGTAATGATTCTACACACCAGAACAAATTCAATAAGCTGTAGTTATGCTGTTGACTATAGTGTCCCTTTAACCCTTAAGGACCAAACTTCTGGAATAAAAGGGAATCATGACATGTCACACATGTCATGTGTCCTTAAGGGGTTAAACTCCCTAGTCAAGAAATAGATAGTAGAATTTATTCCAGCAACTGAGAGGTGCAGCTATTTAACAGCAAAAATAGTTAGTGGGTTTGAAGTTCCAAGGACTCTGAAAGCAATCCATATTCATTGGGCATATTTCTCCATAAAATATTTGCGTCATGTATTATTATAAAAACTATTTGTTACCAAGGTGACGAAGAGCATATGCGATATACAAGATTTATATTGTTATTATTGTTATCATTTATAAAGCAAAAACATGTTCCACAGCGCTTTACAATTATTCATTGGGGATATAAATCGCATTGTACTAAGACAAAATGCACGCTTAATATAAATTAACATGCATATTCACATGCTTTCTTAAATGGAATAATGGAATAGTCTGATATTTGTAGACACTCTATAAAAGAAATATGTAAGGAACAAGCATAATGATGACTCAGTTGCATCCAAAGGAAAAGCTGAACATTTGTTTTGTTTATCTTTGAAGAACCCAACTGGCCCCATTTCATTTGAGATACAATAGGCTAACAGCTTCTGTTGAGGAGTCTACTTATAAAACTGTTTGGTTTCCCTTAGACATACTCTTTCATTATAGAAATATGGTTTGAAAAAAATTGTAGAAAGAGGTCTGGATATACTCCCCCACAATGGATTGATTAATAAAACCAGCTGTGTAATCAGAAGAAAACTCATGGATTCTCAGCAGTTAGGGGAAAATTGCTGGTTTTATTAATCCTGTATTTTTAAGGTCCTTAAATTTACCTTTTTTGTTTTTTGTGTATATACATATCTTTTTTTTTATCATTTGCCAAGGTGAGTGTGTAAGGATGTACAAATGTTACTACCCTAACAAGGTTAATTTGCAAAAGTGCCAATTTCTATTGAAATCTCCACTTTTCATTAAAAAAAAAAAGAGGACAGCCTCTTCACAAATAAGGCACTTCAGCAAGCTATACACTTTAGAGTTATGTTCAGACAGTTGTTTAGTTTATTATTTATTTTGTTTGTCCCAGTTTG